AAAGAGTGTTGAATTATGGGATAAGAGTGTTTAAAGTCCTTTTAATCTATGTGTCCATGTCCTCCAGCTAATGTAAAATCCATTGTATATACGTTAAGATATTTAGCATTTCCTTGGTCCTTAATTCTCCAGGAAATGCTCTGTGATCATTTAAACTAGACAACAGACCTGTGGCATCCTTTCAAATTGGGAATTATAAACTGTCCAGGCCAAGAGGGCAGGGCTGTCCAGGTAAGATTATGGTCCTGGCATTTTAAGCATATTCAGTAATGTGCTGAATTAGTGAAATCTCTAGAGAACCTCTGTTGCATTGGCTTCTGTAGAGCCCCTTGGGTAAATTATATCTGCCCCCGCATTCCCTTGGAAGTACCTCAAGCTGTGGTACTTCCCAGAAACCTATGGCCCATGGGCCAAATCTGGCTAACAAAGATGTTGATCCGGCTTGCATAGAGAGCATTGGATAGCACCGAGCTGAATTGCACCGTCCATCTGCTCTGCAGTGCTCCCCTCCACTGCAGAGCCTAGTGCTCCACAGCCTCTGAGCTTGTGCTTGCTGCAGAGAGGCTGGGAATCTGAGTACAGGCTGCTAGGAGCAGAGACTTCTGGTGACAGCTGCGTGGTAAGCTCCAGCCAACCCCTGCTTTAAGCAGTGCAAGGTGGTTTAAACACTACCTGTCTTTCTGCAGAGGTGAACATGGGTGATGTGACCCTTGCTAGTACAGGAGGGTGAAGTTTGCACATCTGTGCTATCAGGTGCAAGGAAACAGAGATGCATAGCTTTTATCCCTCCATTGAACATATGTACATTCCACTGTTCCCATTATGTCTACAGACAGCGACTTCTTCATGGTTAATCTTAGAAAAATGTTACTGCTCTGATTCAAGAAAATAAACTAAATCAGCCATAAGATCCATTCTAACCTTTCCTTTTTGTGACTTAAAACAAGAGATTTAGCAGAATATACAGATTTCATTGGAATCCGATAGGTCAAACCATGAGCACTTCTGCTAGGGCCTCAAACTTGCAACTTCTTGGGCTGTTAACCATGCACCTGTACCACTCCAGCCCACTTTAACCTTCACATCCATGTGACTTTAGAGTTTGGTGAAGACTGTAGCTCAGGTTCTGAGTTATGCCCTAAGTACAAAGAAGCTGGGAGGAATGGGGGGTAGGAAGAGGGAGAGGGGCAGGAATTTGTTAACAATCTGTCTTTGAGGCCTTTAGGCCTGGGGTTGGTATAGTGAGTTGGATTCCTGACATGAATTAAAGCACTTTGAAAGATACCTAACTTATGTCCATCTATATCCCTGCATCTCCAGGACTGCTCTGATGGTTTGAAATGGCTAGTCCAGATGCATCATGGTCACGTTCCCTTTCCTCCAGTCATGCCTGCCATGCCATGGGACAAAGTACATGTTCAAAGATATTACACTGACTCTACCAGGGATTTTTAGCTCTGTTTGCAGCCAGCTGGAAAACTGGTAAATTCTGTATTGTGTCATAGTCTATTCTTGATTAAATCATAGAAGCAATTAGCAAAAAATGCTACATGTGAGTGATGGACAGAGAGAAAGAGAGACAGAGAGAGAGAGGAGGGCTTAGACTTCATAGGGGAAAGCCCATTTCAGGCAGTGAACAATAGAAAAGGGAATCTCAGGAAGAAACCCCCCCCCAAAATATGCACTCTGATAGCTGTATTAGGCTGCTCAAGGATGGAACGACCTTGATTTAGATTAAGGCATTACATTTTCCATGCTATTCTCTATTATTTCTTAATATTTCCTGATAGGTTGTGCTTTATTGACTACCACCATGTTTAATTTATTTGGCTACTGAGATTTATAGGCATATTTTATAGGAGGCTCACATTTTAGTGCCATTACAGCACACAGTCAACTATTTGAATGGGTAGGATTAAAAAATGTACAGAATGTTGAGTGACTTTATTGCTAAAAGGTTGTAGAGGAGAAACAGTTGGGTTTGAAACAGCATCTCAGTTTCTAAGGAAGGAAAGAGTCTCATAAAAGGTAGGGAACAGGAAGTGACGAGTGATTCAAGGAAAATCATAATCTCAGTGAAAAGAAAAACATACTGTGGCCAGAGAACAGAGAAAAAACTCCGGAAGACTGGAGTGACTGACTAAACCATGCAGTGACTGAGCTGCTGACTTCCACAAATATGTGGTATCATCATAATGTGTATAATATCTCAAGGCATGCCACATGTCAGTTGATACTTAGAACCCACTGTCATGCTTATCATGTGGGCAAAAATGTTGTTATCACTAGGCTTCAGCATGACTTCTGGTTGTGAAAGAGTAGGCAATTGGGTCTAGATCCATACAAGAACCTATGTGCAGTGATGTTCACCTGATATTTAGGAGCAGAATCTTCAGCCCTGAATAACGTACCTATAGGATGCTTCCTATATATGGCCTCAGAATGAGATCTGCAACAGCCAGCACACTGAGCAGGGGGACACCTAAGCTAGCCCAGAGGAGATGCTGTGTAGATAGAGGTGCACAGTAAATTCTGCCCCCCTCTGGGACTTGGGCACCTCTAGCCACTTCACAGCCTTGAACTCTCTTCTGGAGCTTGTTACCTACCTTGTTTCTACCAAAAATATGCAGCCAGCATTCTTCGCTCAAAGAATGCGGCCCCAGAAGGAGCAGGTTTGCCACCCTTTTATTTAGTAGTTGAAGCGCCTGCTTGGGTTGTAGGAGACCCAAATTAAATTTTGATCTACACTTGAGGGGGTTCAACCCCACGTTTGTCTCATCCCAGGAAAATGCTATAGCTATCAAGATGTACGCTTTTCTGGGGCGGGGTAGTCTCAACTCTTGTGTTGATGCTTTTCCTTTCTGTAGGAAACAACTGACAATTCACTGGGCCACAAGAGGGGACAAGAAGGACTTTGTGGTTAGGACGCTTGCCCACAGAGCCAGCCTTATGGGTGGGCAACGTGGGTGTCCACCCAGGGTGCTATGGTTAGGGGTGTATCCCATGCGCATGCATGCATGTGCACACACGCACGTGCACACACACGCACAAACAGCATGCACTCACAGCAGCACTCTCTTCCTGCACTGCCCTGCTCCAGTCACTCCCCACCCCAGGCTGGAGAAGCTGGTCCAGAGCAGTGCAGGTGGCAGCAGCAGTGTCTGCCCGCCCACCTATCTGGCACACTATGCCACTCTGCCTCCCTGATAGACTATGCCCCACGGCCCTGCCTGCCTGCAGCAGTGCTGTTGACATGGGTGGAAGGTGCGGGGGCATCTGGGGGTAAAATACAAGTTTGCCCAGGGTGCCATTTTCCTTAGGCCAACTCTGCTTGCCTGAGAGGAGATATTCTTGAGTTCTGATTTAACGGACTGTTTCATGTAAAATACATAAACAGTCCTTGGAGAAGGAGCCAGAACCCAGGACTCCCACTTCTCAAGGGAGTGTCCTACCCACTGGACTGTTGTGTAAAAAGGAAACTTGAGCAATTGTCATGGCTCTGATGCTTTTAAGCTTATCCCTTGTAGAGCTGTATTCAGTAGGTGCTCTGCAAATGCCTGCCAGATCTAGCTCCTTCAAGAGACACAGACAGAGGAATGTCTGGTTTGCAGATTCTAATCAGGCTTAGTCATGAGAGAGGCATGCTTAGCCCTGACTAGTCTAAGGAAGTTCTGGGCACCTGCAGTGGACTACTGCCAGATTTGCAAGCCAATCCCTTAATGCTCAGGGGCTGCTAGTGTCAGCATGCTGTCCTGGTCCAGCACAGGTGTGGTACAGCTAAGAGGAGCTCACATATCTCACTCTACTAAAACAAACAGTATATCCATTAATAAGACCAAACCCAATACACGCATAAGATGTGGCAGAAGCAGGAAAGAGCTTTGTTGTACTATGTATGCATGCTCAGCCAGCTAGCTGTAATCAATCCCATTTTTAGGAACCTACCTCTTTGCAGATATTGTATTGGAAGCCAGGTCCCTAACTTAAGGCAGTGGATTCCATTATGGTAGAAAGGAGCGTAAAAGTTAGGCACTATAATACCAAGCACTTCCACAGCCCAGTTGTTTTGTGGGGTTAGTCCATAGTGGGCTGTATCTACATGAGACACTTACTGCGCAGTAGTCTAATAACATTGTGCAGTAGTGTGCTGGTAAAAAAATTCCGCTCATATGCTACTGCGCAGTGTCATTAGGCTACTGCACAGTAAGCATGACAAAAAAAACCGTGCGCTGGTACTACTGCGCAGTAGTGTGAGTTACTGTCTGTTTAGTTAGTATTTCATTAAGCAAGTACTAAACTAAATGCACAGTAACTACTGTGCATTAATGAACATGTAAATGCACCCAGTGACTACCAAAGGTTTAATCATTGCAAGGCCTTGCTGCATTCAGCTGTTTCAGAAAAGAGCAGCTGTCAGTCTTCAGCATGACTACAGGTGTTAGTGTCTCAAAAATGCACTTCCCTGAACTGCATCTGACAAAAAGCCAAAGCTGGGAGAAGATTGTGGGGGCAGCTTGACTAAGAGTTGGGGAAAATTGCAGAGAACATGCAAGCTAATTCCCAGATTCAGAATGGTGAGATCTGGGGGAAGCCAGCACTAGTTTAAACTAACAGAGAAAGACCAAGTTCAGGTAAGGCCAAATGTGCTTAGGCTTTTCTTGTTTTAACTGTTTTCCTCTGCTAAATTCTTATGATATTTTTGGAGCAGCTGTCCTGAGTCATCACATTTCCTTCTGGTCTCATATAACTGAGGGAATTCCTTAGCTGAATCCAGATGTGATTGATGTAATTATGGCTAGTGAGACAGACAGTATGATCCAATCTAAAGTGAAGTGTTTCACTGTACCTGCTGTATGAAACAGGTAGTCTTCAACAAAACTGACCGTACCTGGTAAAACTTGCTTTATAAGCATTCAGTAAATGATGGTTCAACAGGTCTTTTGCTTAGAAATACCTTTATTTTATAAAGCCACAGTTTGTTCTGTAAAGTTGTACCACATTTATAAAAAAGAGGTTGACAATTTGTAGGAAAAGAAAAGGCTGAAAACATTTCTCATAATTCAGGATTACACAAAGGTTATATTTATAATATATATATTTATTTATTTATTTATAATTTGGAGACAATTAAGATGGAACTGCAATACAAGCACAGACATGTGTTGGGGGTCATATTTCAGACACTTGTTCATGTCCTACAAATAGTGTTTCCTGACAGAAGGGGTTAACAAGGACCATCCCACTGTCTCTGTAATCACCATTGGCTGGGGAACGTGGCTCAGAGAGATGATCCTAGGAGAAAGAATAAAAAAAAGAATATGAATTGTTTCAATGCTGCCATTTCTCCTCAGTGTACAGTACAGTGTGTTGCTGTGCATGTCTTTGGAATAAAAAGGAATTTATGGTTATTTAATAAGAGGCTATAAAGCTCTTATAAAACCACAAGGGGCCCTAATTTTGCAAAGTAACCCTTTTTCTGCAGGGGAGTGCAATTCCTAGATGCTGTATTTTAGAAAACAGGTTTTACAGAGGTCACAGACCTCAATCAGGAGGTCAGTTTTCTCAAATTGGCCACCAAAAATTAAATTGGAGGCACCCTAAATTAGAGAGAACTTTGTACAATTCCAGCCTTTTTTTTTTTTGCAACAAGAATCTCTGAATCCTGTATTTGCGATTCCTACCAAGTCAGTTAAAGAAGAGACTTCCTCCAACCTGTAAAAAGGTAATTTAGAAGCAATTAGCAAATGCCAAATATACAATATGATGCTCTTTGCAATATATACCCTTTCCACTTGAAACTGGTGATGAGAGTGAAGAAATGTTGTGGCTGGTAGCCTGGCGTTGACTACTGGCATTTAATAATATAAGACACTACAGAGTCCCAAACTGCAATTTACTGGCAGAAAAAAAAATCAATAGAAATGGGTTTTTAAAATTATTTTCACTTCAGAAAGAATCATGTGCTCTTTAGAGGGCTGCTGTATCTTATTTCTCCATCTAGATGCTTTCGTATAACTTCACGTTTGCCAGGTAGAGGTCATAGATAGACCAGGAAGAGGGGAGGTTAGATTTTTTAGGGGCTTGCAGTTGATTCTTAGCTTTGGTTTCAGCCCCTGTAGCTAAGGATCTGTCCACCTGCAGGATATTCTATAATAGTATGTCCAGCTCAGGTTTAAATTATTTAAATAATAGGGTTTCCATTACTACTACTTCAGGAGATTATTCTACATGCTAACAGAGCTCACTATTAGGAAATTACCTCTTTGCTTTTTAAGATCAGAGTTGTGGTCTTGTTTTAACCTGAGTTAGTTCATTGCCCATCAGTTTAACTAGCATAACTGGAACAGTTCTCACATTGGTGAGCACCTGCCTGTTTGACAGGTCCTACTGAAACCAGTTAGATACCTAAGTGCTGATCAGTGTAAATGTTTCCTGATCATAGTTTTTACATATATGGAGCTCGCATCCCCTAAAACTTATGCTGAACAAGCCAGAGGCACCTCCTGAGAAGTGGGTGCTCAGACACCCTTTACATTGTTCATTTCCAATGCTCACATCATCATGATATATGGGCACATTGCAGAGATTAAGATGAACCTCTGTAAGGCATAACTGGAACACAGATAACACAAACACTGCAACCACTTTCTCTCATTGATGAGACGATACACTTAGGCTTATAGGTCCAAAGTAAGTTAAAGCCAAAGGGAAAAAATGTATCCTGTTCTGCTTAAGTGCGGAGGTCAGTCTTAGGGACATGCAGCAAGAGCTTTTGGAGAGAGCTTGATTGCAACAGCAGGGCATTTGGACAAGAAATTCTTTGACCCAGAAGAAATGTCCCATGGTGGAAAGGTTGTTCCCTTGGACATGTGTAAGGTTTCCAAAGTTTTATTAATATTTATTTAGTGAAACACTTTGGTCTTGGGACTTGTTAGCATGCAACTGTGATACCTCTGAAGTTTCAAGGGACTGGATCTCTCTTGGTAACTCTACAGCGTGCCTGTTGAAGTAGTCCATTGTGATAGCATTATTCCAATAGCTTAAGTTGTTTTCTGGGTTAGATGTCTTTTTCTTCCTCCTCATGCAGCATACTGTCAGTAGAACTGCTGTTAACAGAAACATGTCAAGAATGTGATTATTTCGGTGGGACAAGCAGTCAGTGATTCAGACTTGATTGCTTTTTTTTCTTTTTTTCCCCAAAAAAGCCAAAGCCAGATTTGGATTTGGAATACCCTTTTTAGACTGTCACCAAAGTCAGTGGAGTAAGATGCTACTAAAATGAGTGTATGAGCAACTGTATTATAATCTGCATTATGCAGAGTATGCTTTGACCTTAACAGAATCTGAAATATTTACTTTTTTTCTGAGGTTGTCTTTAAAACTTACAACAAAATCACACCTTTTGCTATGTAACTGCAATGTACACAAGGCCTAAACAGAGCTTCCTTAAATCCCCAGAATAGCAGAGTAAAGTAGTCTATAAAGGCTATACTGTGCAGTTCTTGTTCTATGGGTTATTGTTTCGATCCTGAAAGGCTGAGCAAACCAGAAGTTAGATACCTAGGCAAATTGACAGATCTTTCCTATTTATCGCAGATGTGGATTCCATGAATACGTTGTGTTTAACAGCAAAAGCCTCTTCTCCAAGCTTCAGCCAGCTGCTATCTGGGGCATAATTTGGCTTCTTTTCACTTTTCTCTGAAGCATCAGATTAGCCACAGCTGGAGACAGGGTACTGAATAGAGCAGACCCATACTGAGTTGGTCCATAGAATCCTAATCAGTGCACGGCTTGCATGCCTTGTTCACATGGCCAGAGGCAGACTGATACCAGTTTTGGGGCTTGGGTAGAACTTTCCCTCAGGTCAGATTGGAAAGGCTCTTCTCTCTCCTCTGTAGCCACCTTTCTCTGCAGCATGGTATAGTATTTGCCTGCTAGGATTATATGGATCACTCACCTAAGCCTTAAGCGTTGGTGCCATCTTGATTTCTCCTATTCTCAACCTGTGGGACATATTCATGTGTTGAGGACTGAACTATTTGGCTTAACTCAAGTCTTTAGATTTGTTCTGAGGCAAAGAGGGCAGACTAGTTGAATGCAAGCTGACACACAGAACCCTATACACAATATATGATGATGGAATCTGTATTATGAGTAGGGTCAACTTAATCAGCTTCCATACCATGCACTTCTAATGCAAAAATGGTTGAGAGTTTTTGGGAGCTACTCTCAGTATAATCGAATTGGTCTGATTTGACCTGGGAGGTTTAATCTTCTTATTACTTAAAATAACTTCAGAACCCTAACAATTTTATTTAAGCTAGGCATACACCTTATGTGCCCTCTTCTCAATGGCCCATGAACTAGTGGATGTTAAACAAAGATTTTGTTTTTAGTTGGAGTCACAGCCTGCTTTGTTTGCAGGCTTACTATGTGCCTGTAAAAATAAAGTGCAGACACGAGCTGATTGCCTGTATATTTGAACAATCTGTTTTATATCAACAAGCAGGGAGTTGTACCTGTACCCGCTCTCATAGATGTATATCCACTTTGTTTTGCAGGCACCCACCCTTGTGAAAATGTACTCCATGATGTCTACATCCCTGGTCAGAGGAAAGAGCAGAACAAATGTTCAGGAATTGAAAAATATGTTATTTTCCTTAGCCCTGGTTCATTTTTAAAAAAGAATTATAGCCTAAGGGGAAAGGAAATAATGCAGAGAGGTCAGATATGCTTTGTATGTTTTGACAAACATTGCAACTACCCATTTTCCATGGGTCTAATTTCATCTTCTTGCATCTACTGACATAAAATGTCAACACAAAAATGTAAGGCTAGAGCTCAGTTTTAAATAACAGTAAGCTATGACAGAAAAATTGTTAATGGGTTGACTTCAGGCAATTTTTCAAAAGAAAAAGGTAAGTTTATAGTATCAATTTCTTTATTAAAATAATAGGAAAATCTCTTAGCTCATTCCTACACATTAGAAAACACCAGGCCATTATAAGGCTTACTGTCATGCACACTTTGACTAATGTTTCTTCAATGTATCTATGGCTAATATCTTTACTCTGAGAGCATACATTTCTTTAGAGCCTGATCACTTAACTTTTTCTCATGGTGGTGATCACATTGGCAGACAAACCCATCAAAGTCTCTGGAAAGCCTGCATAAGTAAACAGTTGTCATCCAATGGATGAATAATGGGATGCTTGCTCTGTTCAGTTACAGAATGTCAGTGACTCTTAGCTATCTCCATCTGTCCTAGAGGCATGTTAAGGCCTCTTCTATACTACAAAGCATTGCCAGAAAAACTTTGAGGGCATCTACACCCAAAGTTCTTCTACAGCAGCAAAACCTTCCAGTTACACCATCTTTGCCAAGTGGAGGAGGGCCTCTACCAGCTGCCACTGTCCCTTCAGCAGCTGGTACCTTTCCAGAATGCACTTTATGCTCTGGCAGCATAGCTGCTGAATACAGCCATGCAGAGGCTCAGAAATGCATTCATGTGTATGTGGCTGGGTAGTGGTAGTTGCTGTCTGGCAGCAGTTAATTGCAGACAAATCCTATGACCAGAAAAGGAAACAGAATATTTAGTTCTCTCCACTGTTAGGTTATGTAAAGAGCAGTGTATCAGATAGTTACCCTTCAATTTTCCTAGGTGTTACTGTTTCAGGTCTTCTCTATAAGTGCCTAAGACAGACAGTATTTTCAAAGATGCCTGGGGACATAATTACAGGAATCCCAGTAAAGCCAATGGGAGATGTAATCTTTTGGAAAATCCAGGGTTTCTCTTTAAAGTTGTATTGCCATTGTCAGCAAAATGTCAGGCTTGTCTCTAGAAGCTGGAAAGCAATCATATTATGACTAGAAACAGGGTTGTACTTATTCCAAAAGAAGCTGGTATCATAAATATTCCTTGAGCTACCTTTCACCATTCGATCTTCCTGTATGAAATTTATCATTCCTCCTTCCTTAGTTATATTTTTGCTTCTGAACTTAATGCATGGTAGAGCTATGATATTGAAACCCTTGGAATATGGACTCCAATAGATCAAGAAACCTTCAGATCAGGTTTAACTTGTGTAGCACCAATAAAGGTTTCCTTACACTGTTTTTACAAGGTGCCTTAATTTTGAGCAGCAGAAACCAGGTTTAGAAAGAATTTCTGTCTCTGTACTTACTCCATCCTCAGCCTCTCTATTAACCAGGGTGTCAGTCGGTGTTAACTATTGGTATAGTGTTTTATTTTAATTCATATAACAATAGTAATTCATATTTGTAATCCAGGTGTATAAATGTGCTTTACAACCCTGGTTATAACTGTAATATTATTACATCCATTATACAAATTTGGAAACCGAAGCCTTGACTCACATAAATAACTTTTCTAAATAGCAATAACTGGAATGGAATTCATGTTGTGCCCTAATCCAACGTTCCATAAATGAATTAATTTTGTGATCTTAGCAGACAGGTACCTTCTTTTATAGAAATACCCAGAACCTTTTCATGCATACAACTGAGGCTATTAGACAGGACATGTTAAGAAATGTTGAAAGGAGGAAATAAGAATAAGGATTACAGTTTTAGCAGAAAAACAGAAGCTGCAGCTCCAGATATGCCTTTATTATGATGCATCTGATACCCTTGGGAGGACCAGATGCTAGGATTGCTTAACTAATGCTGCAATATTACATTTAGATGAGTCAGTTTGGATAATATAAAGAGAAACCCCAGCCTTCTCTCAGAAGTTCACTTGAACCCTATCTGAAGTTCAAGGCTTAGCTTCCTTTTCCCTTTGTTGTTTTCCACTTTTGCATACCTCCTGGACAGAGAAATGTATATTAATGATCTGAGCACAAGACTAGGTGCCAAGAACACCTGAGATGAACAATGGTTTCATTTTGAGGCCCTGACGCAAATTACTTCAGTGTTGTATCTGTTCTTCCATCTGTGAAATGGGGAAGAACAATAGCAATGGAGCAGGAGAATCAAATATTCCAAATATTAAGCTTTTCAGAATGTGGAAAGAACCAATTCATAATTTTTAAGGTGAGAAGAGGGACCATGATGATGATCTAGTTTGACCTCAAGATTAACGTGGGCCATAAAATTATACCAAGTAGTTTTTGCATCAAGTCTATAACTTCTGTTTGAACAACAGCATATTTTTAGAAAGACATCCAATCTTCAAAGCTAGGGACAGACTTTCAAAAAGCCAGAGCCTGAATTGATTCAATCATTGCAGGTTAGTCTAACCTGCATATATTGAACCAATTTGCAAGAGAATAGACATTCACTTTTGACTCTGACAATGCAGGCACATGCCTGCAGTGGCTCAGGCCAGAAGCCAGGGGGAGCTAGAGCAAGCCCTCAACTGGAGGGAAACTAAGCTGAGGGAATGGGTGTGGTCAGGCCCAGGCAGGCCTGAGTATGATTGGGGAGGGGTTTAAACCTCCACCCCAGCCTTCAGGGAACACAGTTGGGCATAGGCGACTGGTAGCAGGAACACGGGAGGGGAGGGCACGTGCCTCCCCTGAGATTGGCCCCCAACTTGGCATCACTCAGGACAGCAAACCACGGCCCCACAGAGCTGGGTGGAGAGGCTGCGGCTCCTCCTGCAGGGCCTACAGCAGCATTTGTTGAGGTTTGGGCCCACGCCCCCACCCAGGGGGTAGAGGTAGCTTTACCTGTGTTCCAGCTGGTGGTCTGTAGTTTGCCGGGCCGGCCGCTTCCAGTCTGCAATTGTGCCTTCCCAAACTCAGGAGGCACCAGTCACCCCTGCAGCTGGGGTATGCCTGGAGGGGAAGGGGGAAGCAGCCTGTGCCAGATCCTGGTAGCCTTAGGAGAAGCGAAGTTTAATTCCCACATTGCGGGGAGGGGGCCCACATGGGCACCAATAGGCTCCACTTACGCACCTGGGGCTGTGCACTCAGGGCCACAGTGGCCTGATGCCAGTAGCCTGAGGGGAAGGGGGTGGGGTTTAATCGCAGGGGCACCAGCGTGGTGGCCCGGGCCGAGTCCCTCCAAGGAGTGGCCAGCTGCCCACAGGAAACGGGTGGGGAGGGGGTATGTGACCTGGCTGCAGTGTGGGGAAGCTGAGGCTAGTTACGGAGCCCGTCTCACTGCTACCTCCTGCTGCAGCAGTGTTGCCTGGGCTAGGGAGGCCCCAAGGGGCAGGGGTCAGTGCCTACCTCCTCCAGCCCTGCGTCAGGGCCATGGTTTACAGGCTGGCTGAAGCTGCAGTGTGGCTCCCCACCCCCTCCCTCTCCTGGTGGCAGTGGTGGAACAAACTACCGTGGCGGGCAGAGGTGAGGCACCAGTCACCTGCTGCCTGCTCCTGGCAGCGCCAAGTAGTTGGGGCAGGCTGCTGCAGACCTGGAGCATAGGCCCTGGCAGGGGGAGGCAAAGGACCACTACAGCCTGGTCTGGCCCAGCCCCACAGCCCAGGGACGTAAGCAGCAACTGGCCCGCAGCAGCCAGCCCTGTGTGCCTGGTGCTGTCACGAGTAGGTAGCGAGCAACAGGTGCCTCACCTCTGCCCACTGCGATGGTTTGCTCTCCTGCTGCCACCAGGAGGGAAGGGTGGGCTGCTGGGGCCTGTTGCTTCCTACACCCCTGGACTCTGGGGCCGGGCCAGACTGGACTGCACTTCTGGGCCACAGGGCCAGGTGATTGGGGCAGGCTGCTGCAGGTCAGGGACATGGGTAGCAGCCAGGGGAGGCAATGGACTGCAACAGCCCAGTCCAATCCGGCTCAGCCCTGCGGCCTATGGTCATAGGCAGCAATGGCGGTGGAGCAAACCCTCGGGGCAGGGGGGGGGGAGGGGACGGCTCATGGCGGAACTGGGCACTCGGGGCAGGCTGCTGTGGGCCAGTTGCTGCCTACGACCCTGGGCTGCAGGGCCAGGCCAGACCAGGCTGCGGTGGTTCATTGCCTCTGCACACTGCTGCCCATGCCCCTGGCCTGCAGCAGCCCACCCTGACTGCCCGGCGCCACTGTGAGCAGGCAGTAGGTGACAGATATCTCACCTCCACCCACTGTGCTCGTTTGCTCTGCTGCTGCGGCCAGGGGGGCAGGGAGCAGTGCTGCAGCTAGCTGACTGTGGCCCCGGGTGCATGGCCCCAGGCGCACAAGTGGAGCCTATTGGTGCCCATGCAACTCCCACATGATCCTCCACAATGGGCGGGGATTAAACCCTTGCTTCCCCTCAGGGTACTGGGGTCTGGCCCCGCCTCCGCTCGTGCTGCTGGCCTGCAGCAGCAAGTGGGGTGGGGGGCTGGGGACACCTGGCAAAGGCTGCTGTCCCCTTAGCAGGCAGACCTGGTAGCACTCCAGAGCAGGGTTTCCCATCCCCACCCTCTTCTCAGCCAGCTGGAGCAGTGATAGTGCTCCAGCTAGGGAGGAGAGGGGTGGAACCAACCCTACTTGGCTGAAACAGATAGCCCAGCCCAGGGCTGCAGAGCATCTTGGGATGCTGGAGGGCTCTGATTTAACTTAAACCAGGAAGGGGGCTGGGGCAGAAAGTTGCATAAACTGGTTTGACCCAAATCAGGTAAGTTTGATACTACATTCAACCAGGTTTATCTCAAACTTGTTTTGGCCATTTTGAAACTGGCTTATGTGTACTGAACTTCTGTTCTGTTACAGGGTTAAACCAGTTTCTGATCACTTAAACCAGTTTATGTGTAACTTCTGTTCCTAGCCCAAATGAAGAGTGGAAACCTACCACATTTGGTAAGCTCTTCCCTAATGTTAGAAATGTGCAGTTTAATCTGAATTTGTCAGGCTTCAGCTTCAGCTCTCTGGTTCTTTTTGCATTTTCTGCTAGAATAAAAAGCTACTATGAGAAGTTAGTTCCCTATGTAGATTATTATAAATTATAATTAAATCATCTCTCAACCTTCTCCTGGATA